AAGCACTGAATGACCATTTCATCCCAGTATAGTGATCTACCTTAGATCGGTTCATGAATTCAACTATTAAAATCAGTACAATCTCCACAAACCTCTATTGTAATAATAAACTTTGAAAAGCACAAATTCAACAGGAACACTGAAGCATGACGCATAGAACTTAACTGACATTGAAATTTTTAATTTTGTGTCAGCCATTACTATTCGATAATAGATCATTTTAATACTTACATCTAAATCTTTAGTTTCCATGTTGATTAACAGGGCACCAAGAGGGAACCCTCTAATGTTGTTTAAGACGTGATAATAGTTTATAAATAGTCATAATTACTAATACTGGGGATTTTTATTTATTGATTAATCATTCGCATATTACATATATAATATACAATACAAAGTGTACTATATGTGACATTTGTTAAAAACCAAAGACAATTTGTTGTTTGAAAAAAGAAGCGGGTGATATAATTTTTTTATAAAAACGAAATGTTTTCAAACTCAGTTGATGTTGTTTATTTGTATCTTGTCATTGTTATTTAAGACTGCAATCGATCAGTCTGTTATTGGCATATGTGCATTCTATGCGGACTGCCTCGATATTGCAATAGATCACAAGCTTTATAAACAAAGATGAGTAGTGACTAGAATTGGAATGTAGGACGCACATTTCGTACCAGTTGGGACTAATCAGCAGGATGTGAATTCGCCTCAGAGTTGATGATCGCTGCAGGACTCAAACCCTGTACCACTCGCTTCAAACGCCATCACGTTATCCAATTAGCTATTGAGTCCTGACATCTACCTGATTGTGCAATGGGTGACATTTAAATTCACTTGGTGTTTTTTTACTTTTGTCATCTCATTGTTACTTAAGACTGCAATTGGCATTTGTGCATACCGTGCGTATGCCTCGATATAGCTTTAATTCACAAGCATTATATGCAAAGATTGATAGTGGCTAGCAGTTGGATCCAGTACGCGCGTTTTGTCCTATTTGAAACTCGTCCCAAAGTCCCAGAGTGAATATAATCTCTGAGATGCTGATACATCCAGCTGACAAGTCCCAAATATGACGAAACGTTTGTCCTGGATTCCACTGCTAGCCGTTATCCATCTTTACTTGTAAATATTTTTAGTTTCGAAACAACAAAATTTCTATGTAACTTTCAAACGTATATTTAACTAACTAAACAGAATGCTTAATCTGATAATACAATTCATATTTTTTTTGTTTGTTGTTATATGGAAAAGAATAATTTTTGTGGTAAAAAACAAACAAACAAACAATTATACATTCTGGATATGATAATTTACAGCTGTTGATAGGATTTGTGAAAATTTAACTTAAATGAGGAAAGGAACAAGAGTGAACGTCATCTGATGAGATAATACTCAGTTTCAAATAATAATAATAATAATAATAATAATAATAATAATAATAATAGGAAAAAATCGACAGTAAATAACTATTCACAAGTATCAGCTAACGAGTCCCGAATATGATGAAACGCATGTCTAGGATTCCACTGTTAGTCACCATCCATTTGTACTTGTAATCTTTTGTGTCCCATTTTTTTCTAACTTAATGATTGGATTGGATATAATTGTATTTTTCTAATACTTTGTGTATCGTGGTCGTGTTAGTCATCTAATCATTTGTGTTTTTTCACGTTAGTCCGAGTCAGGAATAAATCGAACGTTGTTTCAGTCGATGCACCTTCTGTCTCTGTTGTTTGTCAACCAATCAGATGTTAGGATGGTTTTCGTCTGTCTGGCTCCAAGGCCATCTAGTTACCACGTGGACTCATGTATTACTAGACTCAAGGTTTGAACTAGGTAGTTTATTGTTTTAAGACCTCACGCTAGATTAATTAAAATAAGTATGGAAAGAGGAAAGTCAAGAATAAAGAAAGTGAAGTTTTTCAAATGTGTTACATTAAAATGAAGGGAAAATAATTTCATATTACCAGTGTTGATTCTAAGTAATTTTGAAAATTAGTAGAACATAACAATGAACGAAATATATAACAAGAACTGAAATTAAAAATATAAATGATTGGTTGGTAATTAGATGGTATATAAGTCAGATGCCTGATGGGAGATGTGAAGGTTTTGGGTTCGTTTCGTGGTGAGATCATGAATATAAAATAACTGGAATTTTGAAATATTTTTAGAAGTAAGAAACATAAAATTACTTTGAGAATAGGGGTTTGTCGAATTTATAGATACACAATATTGAGGACTTCCATATTAGGACGAAACGGCCGTTCAGTGATTTCAGGTTTTCCAGTTTAGTCTAGAGTAAATCGACTCACGAATTCAACCACTATTTTATTATAATCTTCATAAATCCCCATTCTTATAAATAATCACCATGTGCTCATTGGTGAAAATTCCCATTTTGCCATTTGGTAAATGAAGAAGGAACGAATTGAGCGAGGAAATTTCTTTTCAATTAGTTTTTCATCATGGCTCTACACTAATATATATACGTTTTACATTAATAATATAATACTCATCAAGTAGATACGTTACGTAATAATTACATAATGACATTTAAATTAACATTGATTAATTGGAAGAAAGAGGATTATTAATATTCAAAGTGATCAAGAAGTTGCTAAGTTGCGTAATGTAAGAAACAAAGAAGGAACAGAATTTTAACGGATGGTCAATAGGATGGTAGTTACGTAAGAATCAAGAGATGAATGTTGAGAAGTTATTAAGTTCAAAAGCAACAGAAAAAAATTACAAAAGTTTAAAAAAAAAGGAAGAAGTATGAAAAATAGTTCTTTTGAAGGAAATCTTAAACTGATGGCCAGGGCAGGGAAAGTGGTTGTACGAATCTCTTTTGAATGCAAAGGTCAGGTTTGTGAACATGGATTGCGATGGCTTCCGCAATGTGCAAGAGGCGCACTCGTAAACCATGTGGCAAATTAGATGGGATATTGTAGATAACCTTAAAAGCTTTATTCAATTCGACTTGATGACCTGTGTCAACCAAGTGAGAGAGAATAGAACTTTTAATCACTTTTACCTGTCCTTTGTTTAACCACGACGGATGATGTTCAGTAATGCGATGACGGACTTGCCGAATTGTACGCCCAATATAACTGGCTCCACAGGAGCAGTTGAAACGATAGATACACATAGATTTGGCGAATTCAGGCAGTCTGTCTTTGTTGGCTGTTCTTATCTTAGGATAGTTGTAGAAGATTGCATTTAATCTGGCAGCATTAAATGTTTTTTGTACGGCTCTTCTTAGTTTCTGAGTCAAGGTTTCTTCAATGGTGTCATTTATGAATTGTAGTTTTATGAATAGTACCTTCTTATGGACGGTGGGTATCTTTGTCCTTGTTTTCTTCTCCATCATATGTTTGTCGATGAATTTCATGGGATACCCATTCATGCTAAGTAGGTTCCGAATATTATTCAATTCTTCTTCGATGGTGTCTTCAGAGCAAATCATTCTAGCCCGATGTGTCAAGATTTTTATCAAGTTCCTTTTGTATCTGATTGGAACTGCACTATAGAAATGAGTGTATTGTCCTGCTGCAGATTTTCTGTGTACCCCTCTTTTTAAAGTTCCGTCTGCTCTTCTTTTTAGTTGGACATCTAGAAATGATATGCTGTCGTTCTGTTCATCTTCTGATGTAAAATTAATTGATGGATGAACGTTATTAAATGTATTAAGTAAATTGTCCTTATCATTTCTTTTTCTAGTACTATGAAGGTGTCGTCTATATAGCGATAATAAGTTGGTAAATGGCTAATTATGCTTTTAAGTGGTCCGTTTTCCAGTTTTGCAAGGAAAATATCAGCCAGTAGAGGGCCCAATGGTGATCCCATGGCAACTCCATCTAGCTGTCTATAGTATTCGTTGTCAAATCTGAATTGTGCATTCATTGTGCATCTAGAATTAACTGTTTTATCGCGGATGCTGGAATCGGGGTTTCTATGCGTCTCTCTGTTAGTTCATTGCAAATAAAATCAACTGTTTCTTGTAGTGGAATGTTAGTGAATAAAGATGATACATCAAGTGATAACATAAATTATTCTTGACTGATAGATTTTTTATGTTCTCAACAAATTCAAAGGAATCCTTGACACTATGCTTGACAATTTCTTTGTGTAATGGTTTAAGAATTTGCACCAACCATTTTGCTATAGTATGATACGCTGAGTTATTCATATCTAAAACTGGTCGAAGGGGTAAGCCACTTTTGTGTATTTTTGGTAGGCCATATAGTCTTGGTGTCATCGTTCCCGTAGGTTTCAAGAAGGTTTTATTTCAGAAAAGGTGTTTGAAAGTTGAAAAAAAATTCTTTGCTCATTGGTGACTGCCTTCAAGATGTATTTCTTAGAGATCTAGTGAAAAGCATGACCGTAATTACTCACCGAGACAATGATAAACTGTGCCGCAAAATTGTGGATTGGTTGAATCTGAATGCCAATTCAGTGATGTAGAAGTTAGCGTTCGTGCACGAGACTGAAGTCCTTGGTTCGAATCCCGATGGGTGGAATCGTGGATGAATAATTCTGAGAAGTCCTATACTATAACGAAACAGCTTTCCAATGATTCATGGTTTTCTATGGTGGTCTAGTATGGATCAAATTGAATTCAACCATACAATTATTTATGGCTTGTTAACATTTTGCTGAGTTGTTTAATATAATATTTATAATTAATAAACCATTTGAAGATTGCATATGAACAAAAAAAGATATGAAGTTAGAATAGAATATGTAAAGTTGAGTTTTACAATTGTAAGAAATCATCTCATCTCATCTCATCATCATCATCATCATCATCATCATCATCATCATCACATCATCATCACATCATCATCATCATCATCATCTCATCATTCATCTCTCATCTCATCATCATCATCATCATCATCATCTCATCATTCATCATCATCATCATCATCATCATCATCATCATTCTCATACATCATCATCATCATCATCATCATCATCATCATCATCCATCATCATCATCTCATCATCATCACATCATCATCATCATCATCATCATCATCATTCATCATCATCATCATCATCATCATCATCATCATCATCATCATCATCATCATCATCATCATCATCATCATCATCATCATCATCATCATCATCATCATCATCATCATCATCATCATCATCATCATCATCATCATCATCATCATCATCATCATCATCATCATCATCATCATCATCATCATCATCATCATCATCATCATCATCATCATCATCATCATCATCATCATCATCATCATCATCATCATCATCATCATCATCATCATCATCATCATCATCATCATCATCATCATCATCATCATCATCATCATCATCATCATCATCATCATCATCATCATCATCATCATCATCATCATCATCATCATCATCATCATCATCATCATCATCATCATCATCATCATCATCATCATCATCATCATCATCATCATCATCATCATCATCATCATCATCATCATCATCATCATCATCATCATCATCATCATCATCATCATCATCATCATCATCATCATCATCATCATCATCATCATCATCATCATCATCATCATCATCATCATCATCATCATCATCATCATCATCATCATCATCATCATCATCATCATCATCATCATCATCATCATCATCATCATCATCATGAGTATACTAATAATGATGATGAATATAGCACTGTTGTAAATCGTATCATTCCCTGTGCATATATGTTTACTTTTTGTTTTAGGAAACATTCATGTTTTATCCTTAACTACTTTCACATCTGACAAATCATTTTACTTAGCAGGTGTAAATCTTAACATAATAATAATGCATTTGTAAGACTGGACTTTTGATCTCAGCTAATATACCAAGTTCATGGTAGTTTGTAAACTTCACTGACTGAATATACTGAACGTATATGTACATACACATGGTTGTTATGTTTACATGATGCACACTATTTAAAAAGGAAAAAAAAACCAGTGTAATAGGTGACATTAATTGAGAATGTAAAGTTTTCTTTTTGGGGTTCTATTATACATTGGTTAGTAATGGATATATATGTATGTATGTTTTTATTTGTATATGAATGATTACATTGAAAGGGAGTAACTATTCGGACAATATATGATTGGTTTGATTTGAATAGAAATGTGTAGTTACATTTAAAGCAAAACACAAAAAAAATAATTCTGTGTTCTATTACTGATATCTTACAATTTTTGTATCTGTGCAATATGTAAATCTAGTTTATTATTGTGTATAATTTCGAGTGTGTGTGTGTATATATATATATGTTTGTGTATGTTATTGTATATATATACATATAAGTGCATGGATACAATAGGCACAATTCAAGACCTACCATTGTTGGATCAAATTAATATATATATATATCTATTCACATGTTACCATTGAAAACCTTAATACTACTAATAATAATAATAGTAATAAATGTAGTAACCGTATCCTATGATTGGTAAACCAGATTTCGGATCAGTCAAATACATATAGGTAGATAGATATTTGTGTGTTTACATAATCTATAAATGAATATACATATGTGCTTGAAATTTAACAAATTACCCCTGTTATTATTTTTTTCTAAAAACGTTAACTAAAATATTGTTATTATTAGAGATTACTTGAAATATCTTTCATCTTCACCTTCATCATCCTCATCATCAGCAGCAGCAGCAGTTTTATACATTGTTAACACACATAATAATAATAATAATATTAATGTTAACGTGGAAAACCAAATTATTAATGGACTTTAAGCAAATCAAATAATTAACCTATTAACTTAATACACAATGAATTTATCAACTATAAATGTAACTCATTCAATAGAATCTTTATCTTCATCAAGTTCACCAGAATTATTAAATACTAATACAATGTTAACAACTAATCATTATACTATAAATTCAAATCTACCATCAATCATTCAAACAAATACTAAATTAAATGGTAATGAATTGAAATTAAACTCTAATTTATATCATCCACCACCACCACCACCTCCTCCTCCTCAACCTTCTCAACCTCCTCCTTCTCATGATCATCATCATCGTCCACAACAACATCATTATCATTCGAATTATCAACAAGAAAATCATGAAGTAACATCACATCATCATCATCATCATCGTCGGCGTTATCATCTACATCAACATCCAATGGGATAATATCAATGAATCATTTAACCAATTCATTATTATATCCATTTTCATCAAATTTATTATTACAAGAATCATTTATTCATTTAATTTATTCAACATGTTTAAATATATTTGATAAAAGATTAAATGATGAATTAAATAAATTTAATGAAAAATATGAATTATTATTTAATGAATATAATGAAACAAAATATCGTTTAAATAAATTAGAAACTATGATACAATATAATAATAAAATGAATATTCCAATAATACCATTACCATCATCTTCATCATCTTCATTCTTGTTACCATCCTCTTTAACCACCTCAACCTCCTCCTTCTCCTCTTCCTCCTCCTCATCGTCGTCAGATTATTTATTAACTTCATTGAATTCATTGAAATCACAACATTTCAATGAATCAATTATTGATAATAATAATAATAATCATAATAGTCATATGATGAATACATTAAAAGAGATTGATACGAAATGGTTAATGAATTGGAAAAATAATAATGAAGATTATTTGAGTAGTATAAATACTTCAAAGAATAATTTATTGGCGCCTATGTTAACAACAACAACAACAACAGCAACAACAACAAGATTAGATGAACAACAGCAACAATCAATACAAAGAATAAAAGATAAAATAAAAGATAATCATCCTATAGAATTTGATATCAATCATTTATCGAATTCATTTATTGATTCATCAATGAATGAGAATAATAATGATAATAATGTAAATTATCCAAAACATTTATTTCATGAATCTAATATAAGTCGATTACATAATCATTTTATAATTTCAACAATGTAATACCATCCTCCTCCTCATCATCATCATCAGCAGGAGGAACAGCAGCAGCAGCTGCTGCTGCTGCATCATCAGCATTGTCAATAAATAATCAACATTTATTATGGAATCAATGGATGGTCAATTGTATAAATTCTGTTAATGGATTATTATTATCATCATCAACATCATCATCGTCATTATCATCACAATCAATATTGAATAATTGTGAAAAAATTAATCATTTCACTATGTCAGATATGGATACTATAGAAGGGAATCAAGTAAGTTATTCATGAATATAGTATGTTTTCTTTATTAAAGATGATTTATATATATTTATTGTGTAATTACCTATTAATATCATTCAATTATACATGTAATAGGGTTTTGTTTTAATTAAATGAATTGTTGAAATACTATAAGCAATTCAATATAAAATGAGCCTAATAAGAGAAAATATATAACATTTGAGATTATGAGTCAATTAAAGCTAAACCATTATGAAAAACATGGAAGCACTAAAATGTCTACAAAAACCTCTTCTGATACTAATCAACATATGCTCAATAGTGACTGACTTCAAGAGGTCATTCTTGGAGTTCTAGTGAGAAGCAGTGACCAGTGGAGTTCAACTGGGTCTATTGTAAGATAATAGTAACTTACTGAAGACAATGGTGGATGTACTACTTTAATAGTTGAGATCATGAGTCAGTTGAAGTCACACCACCATGAAAAACGTGAAGCACTGGATGGTCGTCTCGTCCTATTGTAGGAATCCTCAGCAGCGTACATCCACGATCTTGCCTCACGAGATTCGAACTCAGGATCTATCAGTCTCACACGTGAACGCCTAACCTCTAGACCATTGAGCTGGCCGACATCCAACGGTGTTAATGTCTAACTTCAATTAATCCACCAAGTTTAGCGGCACATCCACCAATGAGTTACTATTATCTCACAATAGATCCGGTTGAACTCCACTTGTCATTGCTTCTCACCAGCACTTCAGGAAATACCTCTATACAGTATTTCTATAAAATGATTGTTATAGGATTTGAATCGGTCTTAAACATTTGTAAATGAAGGTGTATAATAGCTGACATTGTTTAAAAACATCCATGCAATTAATTCCCATTCTAAATTTAAATAAAATCAGAATGAACATAGAGGCAGAATAATACGAATTCATTATCTTTTGTGGTTTCTTATCAGCTGTTTACAACAAAAAATATGTACTAATGTACTATATGTACATTGAGGTAAGACTATACTGTGAAACAATTGACATAAGTGAATGCAAATAATTGGAATGACAAAGGTTATCAATAATAACTATATATATATGCGAGAATAGGTCGGAGGTTAGAATCGAAAGAAAAAAAACATGAGGGGTGGGTGATGTATAATTGAGTGAAGTTCAGAGACAGATACGATAAACTGTGTGATAACTATAGAGGTAATGAAGGGTTTGTACAAGAATCATGGTATTAAAAAAGGAAAAAAAAACTGATAGGATGGGTTACATAATAATTAAACAAGATTTGAACAGTTCACATAATTTAACAGAATTGAGTGAGTATAGATGTATGAGTGAAGGGGTGGGGGTTAAATGTACATAAAATAAGAATTCGATAATGAAAGATATCTATAACAAAATAAAACTAATGACCAATAAATTGAATTACCAAAGTAGTAATAGGTTTATTACTGCCTCTTTTTGGATACGTTATTATTATTAGATTTATTCAATATTATATTTTTGGTACAATAAAAAATTCTCAGCACCGAGTATTTCAACAAGTTTCCGTTTCTTTCTTCTTGGTCGATCCTGACGATAAATATTGAGTGATCGCCAGTTAGATGTTAACAGTCCAGTAAATGAACATCTGAATAATGTACATTCTTTTCGTTGTATATTGCCATCAACCACATTGTCTCTTATTGAGCTTTTTGTAACTTTGACAATGAAAGGTTGTACACTTTTCAGAAATGCACCAGGATAGCTTATGCGATTAATAGACATAATGATATATTAAAACAAACAAAAATAGATGACTTGTTGAAATGTCTAGATGGCAGGAACAGGTAGCCCAGATGCTCAAGCAGGCCGCCTTGTTATGATCAGCTTTGAGTTGCTTTTTTATTATCGCAGTCGCTTCAACAAATCAAAGAGAAGCAGTATATTCTTTGTCTGCTACTAATTTTAAAACCATAAGAATATCAATAATATACCCGGTGTCAAATAAATGCCGAACTATTGCACTACTAAAATCCCTTGCCCTTCACAGTCCTAATTTCTTTGGAACATGCTCGAAAATGCAAACATGTACTCTACCTTCCGTTCTTTCAATGTATGTATATAAAATAATTTCCTAATCAGTTACATAATTTCAATAGTTGAGATCATGAGTCAATTGAAGCTAGACCACTATGGAAAACGTGGAAGCACTGGACAGCCATTTTATCCTATTGAGGGACTCCTTAGTGGTGCGCATACATGACAAATTCGATAAATTTACATTTCTGTCAATTTATGATTGTAAGTCAGAAATTCAAAGGATAGAATGTTGCAAGCCCATAAATACTACCGTACTATAGTGATAAGAATAATTATTATTTCAACAAGTTTCTGTTTCTTACATCTTCGTCGATACTGACGATAAATATTGAGTGATCTCCATTTAGAAGTTAGCAGTCCAGTCAATCAACATCTAAATAATGTACATTCTTTACGATGCATGTTGCCAGCTACCACGATATCTCTGACTGAATATTTTTGTAACTTGTACAACTAACAGTTGTACACTTTTCATAAACTCACTTGAATAGGTTATGCGATTAATAGTCATAAAAACAGATAATTTGTTGAAATATCCAGATGGCAGGAACAGGTAGCTCAGATTTTCAAACAAACCGCCTTATTTTATGTCATAAACGATGATCTTCAACACATCAAAATGTTCAGAATAAATTATTATGTTAAGTGGAAGTAAAGAAAAAGCATTTTGCAATAATAAATTCCTGACATCATTCTAAATTCTTTAAACTATGTCAAGAATCTATAAACACTAATCTGATGTTAACTTGTGAATTAAGACAGTATTTGAAAATCTTCAACTTAGGTTTCCTAATATTATTCATCTTGGTTTACGTATGATCAAATATTTAAACCTACTTAGAATAAACTATTGAAATGTTTTACATATATAAAAGAATTTATTAGTCTTTCGTATACTGTCTATGAAAAATGTCGAAGACTTTCTGGTGATGGTTTAATTTATCACTGATCTGATCATGAATCTAAGTATTTTGATTCAGTATTTGATTAGGTATTATTTCCAACCGGATGCAAATATACATATATGAAGCTGAAACTTGGAGAACTACAACAACCACCATCAAGAAGGTACAAGTATTTATCAATAGTTGTTTGAGCAAGACACTGAACATTCGTTGGCCGGATACCAACAGCAACAACCTTCTGTGGGAGAGAACAAACCAGCTCCCAACTGAAGAGGAAATTAATAAACGACAATGGAAATGGATAGGACATTTATTACGGAAATCATCAAACTGCATCACGAGGCAAGCACTAACTTGGAATCCTGAAGGGAAGTGGAAAAAAGGAAGGTCAAATAACACATTATGTCGGGAAATAAAAGCAGATATGAAAAGGATGAGTATCAACTGGAAAGAGTTGGAAGGGATTACCTAGGACGGGTTGGGATGGAAAGTGCTGATGGGCAGCTTGTGCTCCTCCATGAGGAGTAACAGGCAAATATACGTACAAAGATTACTTGATCAAGCATAATTTTTGCATATGACCATGTTTAGTTATCTATGCCAATGATTGTCTGTGGTTTTTGATATTAAATAAGTAGTTAAGTCAAGTGCTTATTCTCAATAATGTCTTGAATAATTCAAAAAAATCTGAGATGATTTTTAATAGTACCTCTCCTGACATAATTCATTTTCTTACAGTAGTCAGCTGACTAGACTATAAAGTCTCTATAGACTATACTAATCTATAATCCTATCAGATCACCGACATAGAATTATGTATTAAGGATGATTTTTAATGTAAAATAATAATACATATGACTATGATTACTAGTTACCTTATTGCATAATGCATGACAATTGAGTGTCAGTGAGAATATCCACACAGAGTGTACAGTTATAGCAAGATAAAAAGCTTTAAAGTAGATGGAACTCGTCATCTAGATTTTATTGGTAATTATCATTTATACCTGCAATAAAAAATCTTATCAAATACTTTATAAATATTCACTTTATACATATTCACCTTTTAGAATCATGTCTCTTATTTGAATTTTGTGTTTTGAAAGAAGATGGTTAAACTCTCCCTCTTTTATCATCCAAAAAGAAACATATACAGTTTAGAAGAGCAGTACTTCTAAACCACTTACATCATTTTATCAAGGCGGTTGTACTACATCATAATAGTTTATTTTAACTAGGAAATCATCGAAAGTCAGGAAGTACAAGTTAGCCATTGTAAACTCATTTTAAACTTTTCCAGAGTCTTTTAAGCAAAGATGGATAGTAGGTAGCGGTGGAATTCAGGACGCGCGTTTCGTCCTATTTGGGACTTGTCAACTGGATGTACCTTCATCTTCGCTTATAATGCTTGTGACTTAAGACAATATTGAGGCAGTTCGCACAGTATGCACATATGTTAATAGGAGACTGATCAATTGCAGTCTTAAATAACAATGGGAAGATTCAAGTAAACAATACCAAGTGATTTTCAGTAGTCTGCCTAGACGCTTTCAAATGAAATGTAAATAAAACTTTTGGTAGCCGTAAGTGGTTTATATTTTATAAATTTCGTCAGCTTGTATTAGACACAGAACCATCAACGATTGTCATCTATGATAATTCATTAAACACTACACATAGTTTTTCGTTTGTTATTAACTGCTTAATACAATATTTGCGGTATCTCCCTAAATTTTTCTTTTTACTGAATGGAAAGATATCCAAATGTTGTTAAGGTA